CATGTGTCTATAGACATACATATTTATATACACAAAATCTCCCTCTCGCGCCCCCCATCACACACACACACACACACACACACACACACACACATCTGGGAGAGAAGTTATCCATATGAGAGAACACGTCTTCTCTAGAAAAGAGTGTGGAGCTCTGCGCTGGGAGGTTCTGACCCCCAAACTAACCTCCAGTCACTTCTACCACAGCATGGGTGAGACCAAAGGTATACTCCTTAGTTCAGTCCAGACTAGCCAAACTCCTGAAACAATCTCCACAACACTGACAGATGGACTCACGACAGCCCATACCATCCCAGGAGGCACTCACCTGCTTCATCTGCCTCTCCACAGGCTGGAGGCACGGCTTCTGACCAAACCCTGTATGCAGGAAACCTTCTCAGCAGAGACCTCAAAACCAGTACTTTTCTGACACACTCCTGTCTGTCATCAGCAAAGCCCATCTCAGGCGATCCCTGAACACCAAGGAATTCTGTCCTGGCAGCCTGTGAAGAGGAGGAGGCTGCCCCACCTGCTCCCACCTGCAGGGTGCATGGCTCACCCGTGCAGGCTGCTGAGAAGCTACAGGAGCAAAGGTCTTTGCAGGATGAGATCCAAGGCAGCCAGAGGATCAGAATGACTTCTGGTGGATGCCAGGTGTCCAGGAAAAGCTAGTTGTGAGCGGACACAGGAAGCAGCGTGAGCAGGCCCTTTCTCCTTATACACCCACCTTAGGAGTGACTGAGACAGGAAGGCCAAGGGAGTTGACAGCAAATGGAGAGCAAAGCCTAAAAGAAATGTGTCAGAGACTGAGGGAAACGTGCTGTTCGTCAGAGGAAGCTCTGCTCCAGGCTTTGGGAGGCCTGCGACAGGATTTTTTAAGTCAGGCGACAGCACTGGCATAGCCTGGAAAAGCAGAGCCATGCGGGCTTCTTCGAAGTGATCAGTCACAACACTGGGCTGCCTGACTCTGGAGAAGGCTAGTACCCAGCCTTGCCCACCAAGATGTCACTGGAAGCCTGGCAGATTCAACTGCTGTGGAGCCTGAGCTGCCCTGTGGAAACACTCCTGCGAGTTGGGGTTGGAGGCATAGCGCAGCTGGTAGAGCACTAGCTATCGAGTGAGAGCATCAGGTACCAAGTTCCAGTCCTGATCTCAGACCTAAACAAAAACAAAAACAGAAAAGATTCCTGAGAGTGAATTCCTGCTTCTCAGGCTCTTGGGGTCTGCTAGGATTCCTGGGTGCGAAATGCTGGCACAGTCATCTCTTACGCCTCCACAGTAATCCCCAATGCACAAGCCTCTGAGTTGGGTTGGTGTATTTCTTGATTTTGAAATAAAAGTGTGTATGTGTGTGTTAAATGTTTTAAGAGCTCCCTTACATGAATGTCCCTGTCAGGCCTGTGTTTCTATACTCAACTAGTAAGTCAGGATCCTCACTGTGTACCTAGGAACTCTACTAGAAGGACACCTCCTTAGCTCTATGATCTGGGCTAGGCTTCTGCACTTTCTGGCTCTACCCACCTGGGGTAGCCACAGCATTGGAGGGAATTTGAAGAAGATGGTCACAGCTCTTCTGCCTTGCTGGAGAAGTTCCTTCCCTGAAGGATGGACGCTCCCCACGTGCTCCCCACTCAGGAGCCAGGACTCCAGTGGACACAGGAACCAGTCTCAGTTTTCAGCAGGGCTGCCCTGAGTACTGAACTCAGTCCCTTCTTTTATCTTCTCCCTCACTTCTTTCTGCCCTCTCCCACTGTGGGTGCTAATGAGTAAATCCCTCCCAAAGCAGAAGTGGAAGCCTGGCTCAGTGGTGGAGCGCCCTGTTCAAGTCCAGCACTGCCAAAACAGAAAATACACCAGTGGCTCATGCCACCTAGCTACTTAGGAAGCTGAGATCTGAGGACTGGGGTTCAAAGCCAGCCTGGCAGGAAAGTCTGTGAGACTCTTATCCCCAATGAACCACCAGGAAACTGGAAGTAGAACTTTGGCTCGAAGTAGTAGAGTGCTCGCCTTGAGCGCAAAAGCTCGGGGACAGCGCCCAGGCCATGAGTTCAAGCCCCATGACCAGAAAAAGAAAAAGAAAACAGAAAACACAGTCCCCAAAGCCCAGTGCTATGCCACTCCCCTCCATGCTAATTTCTCCTTAGAAGCGTTGCCTACCTAGTCATCTGTTCAATGTCTGCCGCCGTTCCTGGAAGGCAGGCGGCAGGAGTGAGAACTACGCACAGAATCTATCATCGGACCACACACTGCGGTCCCTAGCAGGTGCCGCACCCTCCTACCCTCAGAGCAGCAGTGACTCTGCCATCCCCAGTGCCACTCACCCTTTCCACCTTGGGTCCATTGTCTTTTTAGTCCTTTCGGGGTTCTTCAGACAGGAGCAGGAGCAAACAGCCTAGGGAAGGACGGGGAAGGACGGCTCCCAGGGCTCCCTTCCCGCCCCCTGGGTGGGGGAGGAGCAGAACAAGACAGAAGCAGGCCTGTGTGGTCCCTGTCCTGCACCCCCATCTTCCTGCTCCTCAGAAGGCGGTGATGGCCCTGTACTTCAGGCGCTAGCCCGTGGACTGGGAGGCAGCAGCGCCTCCTCACCCGGGCCCTAGCTGTGCCTTCCACACCGCCAGGGAGTCACCTGCTCCCTCCTTCACGTGACAGCTCCTCAAACACGAGCGGACAGGGAGAGCGTGGCCCTGCCCAGGCTTCCTCCTCCCGCCCGGGAGGACCCAGGTCCAGCAGGGCAGCTCCATCTAAATAACAAATCTGCTGGTGCATTTAAATACAACTGGAGTTACTCAAATTCAATTTACACAGAGAACTATAGGAATACATTATATAAGGTGCTGCTGATTAAAATAGTAGGGTGACCCTTAATGAAGTTACTGGATTCTACTCCATACCCATGTCAAATTGACATTTAAACAAAAGGGAGCTGGATTCTTGAGTCAGGCTGTCAGTTCTGACTAGTACGCATGCTCACTCTACCAGATCAATAATTCAAAGGAGAGAGTGTAACTCGCGCTGTGCGAAGCCTGGCACCACGGCTCCGGTACCTGTCATCTGGGACCCCAATCCCACCAGGACTCTGTGCAGCCAAGGCTGTTCAGCCCTGTGCTCAAGCCACAAGCACTTCTTTCCACCACTGAGCCACCTTCCCAGCCCAAGCACTTCTTTCCTTAGCATTTATTCTCTTACTCTGACACACACATTAGTTACTAAAAAACTAAGCCATGGCGTCCAGAAAGCCAAGCTGCTCATTTCTAGGGAAGTTTTAACCCAAAAACGCCTGTGCACCTGAGGGCACTGCTCATGTTTTGCTTCTCTCTCTCAAGCAAATTAAATATACCTTGGTGAGCCTTTCTAGAAATCATAGGAAATCAGGTCTCAATTGTCTAGGTGGCAAGAAATGGGTGGACTTTATTCAGGCTGGTGACACCTGCTGCCAACTATGTACAGAAGCATCACAAGGCCGAGGGAGGCAGCTGAGGGCATGCTCCCAGTGACCAGCATCAATAGCCTCTCATCCAAAAGCACAGGAAGACAGAAAACTTGAACATGACGTGGGAGAGAGGCCTACTTTCATGATGGATGGCAATGAAAGTCCTTCAACACCAGGTTACCCGCTGTGCCTTCATTCTCCAATGCTCATGCTGCCGCTCCCAGTTGTAGGGGCTGTGTGAGCGGTGCCTCAGCCGCTGCACGGGATGGGCAAAGCGGGCAACTGGCCCGCACTGGGGTTAGTCACGGCAGAGCAGTGCTCTAGGAATCCGGCTGACTCAGGAAGGTAGGGCCACACGGGCACTGTCTCCCACGTCAAGGAATTTGCTCCTACTAGAGCCTATTGTACATTCCAGACACGGAGCTCTTACAGGCTGGAAGTACAACTTACATAATTACTTTTATAAATAAAACTGACATAGTCACTTTGTGGTCTAATGACTCAGAAATAGATTTTAATGATAGGGGATTGACAAAAGATATAGTCTCTGATTCTTTATTTCAGCAGGGGAGTTTCATGCTTAGGGTCATTCTTTATAGTTAGGAAGAAACGAGGAACCTGAGGCCCCCGGAATGGGGCCTCAAAACTGGGGTCCACCTCCACTGGAGCTGTGAATAGCCTGAAAACTGCCCCATGTTTCAATGTTATTTTTCACTAGAACTGTATCTATGTCTTCAGAAACATGTTTAGTGTTATTAGGCTTGAAAACTGTTAATTTGGTGAGAAAACGTAATTGCAGGCATGCAGAGGAAGAGCATAGTTTCTGGACATCTTTGATGGATTAGAAAAACAGGCCACTGCCCTGTGCGGCCACGTATCTCCAGCAGTACCCCAGGTAGAGGGCTGGCCCTCGGGCTGGCACCAACATCAGCAGACATCTGTAGCCTCCCAGAGATGGAGTTCATACTGGGATCTAAAGGCAGACGAGTCTGGCTGCTGGGGCAAGACAAGCCCATGCACTGAGCTCCTCACCCAAGTACATGGTGGCAAGCACCGGAGGACCACTGGGTGGGAGGACTGCCTGGGTGGCGGCGGTGGCAGCAGCGGCAGCAGCAGCAGCTAACAAACTTATACACTTTCTTCAAAGTAAGCAAGCTACTCACAGGACACCAGACACCGTGTGAAAATTGGTGGTTAAGGAACACCAGCCATCACTAGCCAGAAAACCAGAAGCTTTCTGAGGACAGAAGCCATGTACTCTGTTGTAGGATACTGCCTCTGCCTGACACCCGCGTCCCCTCCTCCCGCCCTAATCCCCCTGCCCCGCCCCCCGCCCTGCGACTGTCTCCCTCCCTGCAGGCCCGCTGCCTGTGCCCCCCCTGGGAATCCCCTGGTGGCTGCTGAGGCACAGGGGACCATGATCATCAGTCTCTATGCCAAGGGCAAGCATGGCCTAGGCACAGGCTCACCAGTCAGTCAGCAAGTGCCCCCAGGGCAGTTAAGATTGCTGCATAAAAGCTCAACGCAAAGGGCCTGTCCCACTCCAAAGAAAATAAACAGACAAAAAATATCAATCATGTTTTCTTTTTAATAAGGGTATCTTTACTTAAAAGGGTAGCTTTGAAAATCTCTAGCTTGTTGTGAAAACCAGAAAAGCTAGGGACCCGCCTCACCTTGAGCAGCACTAGGCAAAGCCAGGGACAGCTGGGCTGCACACCCATTACCAACACCAGAAATCAAGTGTGCCACACTGAAATTAGAGCCAACATTTAAAATTAGGAGGAGGATGCATGTCCTACTTTGATTTACGGAAAAGGACAAGTTCTTAGTACAGCAAAACAGAAACACAAAAAGTAAACAAATCTTTAGAAATCACTAGATATATATGTGTGTGTGTATATATATATTTATATAATTAGGATTATCATCAACATTTAAAACTATTAAAAATAAGGTTGCCACCTTACCTTTCTTTTGGTACTGGGATATTATTATTTTTTTAAAGAAAAAAAAAAAAGACATTGCCCAGACTCTCCATGCAGATTCCCGACTGGACCCTGCTCTCTGCTGTGCCCCGCCCCGCCCCGCCGCCTGCCCCGCCCCCCAACGTCCACGTCAGCTGGCTGCAGGAGGCAGAGGCAGCTTTCACTCTGGGCGGGCGTCAGGATGACGGGCCCACAAAGGCACAGCTGAGAGGGGGCTGGCTTCTTCCCCAGAGCAAACACAAGGCCCACGATGGGAACGGGAATGCTGCGGAATCTTCCAAAGGCACCTCTTTCCCCTTCATTGTTGAGCTCGCTTTGCCTACAAGCAGGCTGGCAATCTTAATCAAAAAGCAAAACTAGATCTTTAAAATAACTTAAAAAAATCATTTTTATATAAAGCAGCAAAAACATATTTTCCTCTCTGCAGAAAGAGAACGTGAACGAAGAACACGGCGATGGAAGTGGACTGTTCAAACCTTGAGCTGAACCGGGTTTGCCGACAGAGCATGGCAGCTCAGAGCTGCTCTTTCACTTCGCTGGTGCAATCGGAAGATTCTTTGGCGTCTTCAACCACCCGTTTGCCTTCCTCTGGACTGAAGCCCCCGTTTCCAGACTGGGTCCCATTGGGGATGGAGTCCTCGCCATTGAGCAGCCCGTTTTCAGCAGCCTTGGCTTTGCTCACAGCCTCCTTGAGGCTTAAGGCCTCTTGCCCGCCAGCCTCCTCCTCGAGGTTTCTCAAGACCAACGGGAGCCTCGAGTCCCCCATGCCACCCTCCAGCAGCCCTAGGTCACTCTCCTCGTATCTGGGGAGTGGCACCCTCTCCTCCATGTGTTTGCGGTAGTACTCCCGGTTGACGGCTGCGCTCTTGACTGCTTTTTCCAAAATCTCTTTTTCCCCTAAGCGTAATTTAATGGCCATTGTCGCACGAACAGAAAGGTCATGGTTTTTCAGGACAGCCTTATCTTCCTAGAAAACAAAGAAGAGAATCCATGACAAGAAGTCCAAGCTGGCAAAGTTGCACAAACAGGCAGGTCAGCCGCCAGCGGCGTGAGGAAAGCTGGGCTACACAGACACTCTGTCAACACTGCACTGTAGACTTGAGAATCTTACTGGAGTAAGTTGTATCTCAATAAAACTGTGTAACTCAAAAAGAAGACCTCAGCCACTTGAGGACCCTGACCGGGGCCCCGGGTGAACAGCATGAATGCATGCGTGCATGCATGGAGAAAGAGGGCTTTAAAGCTGGTGGCTCAAAGCCAAACTTTCAAAGTACAAACACAAACTTAGGCTGTAGAAAAATGTACCAGAAATTATTTTTTAAATGCTAAATAATTTTCAAATGCTACCTTCTAATCAGTAATGCTTCAATGTGATTTTTTTGGTAAGTGTAAACATGATGCATAGAAAAGCATTAATACCAAATATTAATAACTAATACTAAAATATTTATGCTTAAAAAGGTGAAATATACATTCTGCTGAAGAATCAGAGTAAGTTACAGGTAAGAAGGAATCGAAGACCTTTAGAAACAAAGTGCAAATCCTCACTTATCAACTCATTACCTCAATCGTTGTTTTATATGTTTTTAAAAGAAGCGAGGCTCTATCTTCAAGAAATGTCCAAAGTTTGACCTCATTGTCCCAGCTGACAGGAAATTCAGAGTTACCTAAGGTGAAAATTCTGTCGATAGCATTGTCTCCTAGCAAATGTTCTTTCAATTCTTCTACAAAAAAAAAAAAAAATAGCAACCAGTTAGAAGGGAAAACAGCACTGCTTCTCACTTTCACGAGCAATCTATCTGAGAAAACCTCTCTTTCAGCAATGTCATCTTCCTGTGGCCAAAAGCTCTCCTCACTCCATCAGCCCGGGCCATTTCCTCCCTCTCCAAGGCAGAGTTAGAGCTCAGCTCTGGGCAAGGAGATGAGTTGAGGACTCCGGTGTTTGAAGCCTTGGCAAAGGGCTCCATGTATCACTGCTTTTATGACCATCATCAAGAGCCTTTAGACTGTCCAAAGGCAATGGACACAGACTCATCACTTACACAGCACCTTTCCATGAGCCAGGGGCACCATCACGCCACCAGGTCAGAAAGATACCAAAAAACAGCAAAAATAAGCAAGAGTCATAATAACCTAGGGACCCTCTGAACTCAAAGATGACTGATAGTTATTTATCTCATAACAAACATGCCAAGGACAGAAACAAAAAAGATGAACCATAAGATTTTATGTTAATGAAAAATGAGACTATACGTGTCTCACTTGTCAGGAATTTAAATAGGAATTACAAGTAAACACAAGCGAACATCTCAATTACCTTCAAATATATTTAAGAAAGAATTCACAGCAACTGCTCTGAGCATTTTGTCTCCTGGCACATTCTCTCCAGAAGACCAAACATGCCCACCCTCTTCATGCTCAAGAAATACACCAATGCTTCTTATGTAATTGTGAGACAGTTTCTCTTTCAGAGCAAAATGCCCTACAGCTGTCACTATTTACAATTCAAATTGAGGAACAGTCGCTGCCAGCAAACCAAACTTTTATTAGTATTAGTTGGAGTAATTCAAAGAATACATCAATTGTCTTGACATGACAAATTGTCTTCCGATGACTAAAGAAACTGAAGAGCAGCAATAGATCTAAAATGATTCTGTTTTTTAAATTTTTATTTTAAGAAAATAGATGTTATCTAATGTTCAAAAAAAGAGATTTCTCTAGTTGTATTTGCTAGCAAAACAGCATGATAAACTTCAGAACTTTTAAATTCTTGATTCTCCTGTTTAAATACTTTGTCTGAAGAGATGGCAATCTAAAAAAAGCTTCAGAAGAAGAAATTTGTCAGAAGCCCCACATGCCAAGCACTAGCTCGTCCCTCCTTCCTCAGGGGCCCACATTCAACCCCAAGCTTCCTCTGCTTCTGTCTATGGGGCTCCAGCTCTCAGCGCGGGAGGCTCGAGGCCTACCAAGGTGTAAGCAGAACACACAGCAGGCGCCTGGAAGCAGGTTTCCTTCCAGGCCATTTCCTGCCAGCCCCTCCCTCCCAGGTGGCTCCACGCTGCCTTCCGCCTGCCGCAGCCCGAGTGGTCACCCAGAGCAGCCAGAGCCCTCCCTCCTCTGCCTCAGCCTCACTCCTCCTACTCCTCCCCCTCCTCCACCCAAACCCTGACTGTGTGCCAGGGCCCAAGTGTGGTCTCCACTAAGAACTTCTTCCATGGATTCAGTTCCTTGCAAACTGCAAGGGTTTGGGAGGTGTGTGAAGCACAGGCTGTGAAGGCTCTAAGCCAGGGTCTTCCCTCACTGGCCAAAGCCACCCATCCGCTTTGAATTGGACACTACATCAGTGAAATGGGGTGCCTGGATCACAGGCCTGGTGAGCTGAAAATAAAACACATTGATTGGCACATAGTGAGTGCCCCCAAATGATAGCGATTGCCACCCCCCATTTGTTACTTTCTTATACACTCCTTGAGGATAGAGCTGTGACTTTCAATTGTGTCTTACACACACACACACATACACAGAAGAAAAGCCCATAGGTCACCTCTAACATTGAGGTGATAAACCACCACTGGTGTACAAAGGCACCACAAGTCCCCATCTGATGATGAGTCTCCAGCAATGCAGTTGCTTTTAAGGAACAATTACCTCGTCTTACTTTGTCTGGCTCCACGGCTGGCATCAAAGCCGCCTCCACTCTAGTCTGACGTGGAGCCTTGGACTCGAGCACCCACACAGGAGGCTGCGGCCACAGACAGCAGGGCGCAGTGGTCTCTCGGTGGCCACTGGCTCTGTGTAACAAACACCACCCTCTCCCTCGTGCTTTGGCAGCTTTGTTCCAGAAGAACATGCCCTACCGCTCAGAGAGTGACTTGCTCACACACCCTTTCACTCAGTCCCGTCCCATTTCTTCTATAGAAGATTTAGCACAAATGCAAATGAAACTAAAACCTCAGGATCAAGGCGGGTTTGGGAAATACAGCTTAGAGTGAAAATAAGAACACAGCCAGGTCAAGTCTCAGCACAAGAAATCCCAGCTGACATTTCTTAAGAAAACATATAAGGGATGCTCGCTCATGTACTTCAGTCTTTCTGGGACTGAAATGGGAGGCTTAGCCAAGAACATTCTGTGTTATATACACATTTTGTTTTCCATGCTACTTATTTGCTTTATATTTAACATTTCCAGGGTAAAATAGAGCCATTTTTTGGGACTCCAATACTACCATATTCTCACTCCCCAAAGGTGCTTTAGTTTTAAGCAATTTTTTTTTATTGTGAAAATACTGTACAGAGCTGGGTTGCAATTACATAGGCAAGATAATGAGTACATTTCTTATCAAGCATTGTAGCCTCCTTCTGTTTCCCCTTCCCATCCCATCCTTCCCCCGCCCCCCCCACCAAAGTTGTAAAGTTTGTTCTCGACATACAACTTGTACGTCTCGTTGTTGCAATGGGTCCACCTGTATCCCTATTTAAACCATCTGTTTTTTCCCTTCCCTTCCACAAATTATAATAACATCAAATACAGTGAAAGCAGGGGTTATACCGTGGGGGAGGGACATACAAAGCAACAAAGAAATAATCTTATAAATGTGTTAGAAACAATCGCATGAAAGAAAAAAACATTTGAATACATATCTTAGGGTTCATTTCCCTAACATCAACTTATCTGACCTTTTCTGCTTGACTCAGACATATACTAGTTATTGCAAATAAGGGAAACCATGGGACCTATGTTTCTTTAGGCCTGGCTTACTTCACTTAGTATAATTTTTTCCAAGTCTTTCCATAGTTTTAAGCAATTTTATCTTTTTTTTTTTTTTTTGGTCCGGTCATGGGCCTGAACTCTGTGCCTGGGTGCAGTCCCTCAGCACTTCAACTCATTGCTAGCGCTCTACCACTTGAGCCACAGCGCCACTTCCAGCTTTTTTTTTTCCTGCTTATGTGGTGCTGAGGAATCGAACCCAGGGCCTCATGCATGCAAGCCAAGTGCTCTACCACTGAGCCACCTTCCCAGCCTAGCAATTTTATCTTTAATATACTCCCCTATGCTTTAAACTTTCATAAATTAAAAAAAATTAATATCCCCCTAGGTGCCAGTGGCTTATGCCTATAATCCTAGCTACTCAGGAGGCTAAGATCTGAAGATTGTGGTTCAAAGCCAGCTCAGGCAAGAAAGTGTGAGACTCTAATTTCCAATTAACCACCAGAAAACAAAAAGTGGAGCTGTGGCTCAACGTGGTAGAATGATACCCTTGAGCAAAGGAGCTCAAGGACAGCGCCCAGAATCCAAGTTCAAGCCCCACAACCACAAAAAACAACAACAGCAACAAAATCAACATCTTTTATTTCTCCTGAAGTTGTTTTTACCTTCAGTCATGCAGAATACTCGAAGAAAAGCCAGAAGCTGAGCAGAGATGGGTGGCTCCGTGAAATGCAAGGCAAAAACACTGGACCTGACAAGAGTGAGAAGTGAAGTCAGCCAGGATCCCTGATTCCTCCAGAGCAAACCCGAGCTCTGCAGCACCCCTGGGGGTGGTGCTCAAGGTTCCTCAAAGGCAAGCTGCAATCCCTGCAGAGGGCCTGGGGCCCAGGCCCATGGCAGAGGAGGGCACTGAGGGCCCGCCAGGGCCTGGCCACCTCGGCCAGCCTGTCTGCATCCCACCACCCTGATCCTGGGCTGCACACTCAGCTAGGAGAAGGATACCTACAGTTCCTAAAAAATGTGAATAATAACACGTTGAGTTCACACTTCAATCATTAATCAGATATTGACAGGCTCAATTAAAAAAAAAAAAAAAGGTCTGGATCATCCATTTTCATTAAGAATGGTTCCTCTATTCCCTGGAGAACTAATAAATCATCATTGTTGTCTTCGTTATCATTTTACACCTCAAATGTGAGAAAATCTTAAAGAACTTAACCAGGAATTCTTGAAATTGCTGAGGAGCATGACTTCATTAGAGAAACTAATGGAGGCAAAGAATTAAATGAAACAAATTGATCCAGGTCATTAACCTTTCCAAGGTGAAAGACATTAATGGGGCCAAGGCACTTATTTAAGGTAATGAGGACAATGGGCCACATCCCCTGACTGACTGTGGTGCTCCCAGCAACATGACTGTCTACAAACACTGCTAAATCACCGTGCATCTACCTCCACGATCGCCGTGTAAGAGGAATAACAGGACTAAGACAAACTACTGTAGAGGGATTGTATTAACACACCAACTCAGCAATGTAAGGACCACAGCAAAGAGCGGCCAATGTTTTTCTACGTACGTTGGGATGCCAGCGCGGGCCAAGACCTCGGCCTTCATGGCGTAGAGTCTGTCGCTTTTACTCACTCCAAGCTTTATTTTCACTCTGTCGTGTGAATTATTGTCAAAGAAAAAACCACTGTGGATCACAAACTCTGCATTTGACCGAGTGCCATAAAAAATGTAAATCTGAGATGCAGTAAAGAAAGAATAAAGGGACATAAAACAAACTTAGCATGCATTCTTAATACGTAACAGGGCAAAGGATTAGTTCTCATATATTTAATGCTACTTTATACTAATGAGACAGATCATTTTCAAGTAACCATACACTTGCTTGGCAAAGCACGTTAGTGAGGGCAAAGATGTGTAATTGTCCCAACTTGCCAGACTGTCTAGGCAGAGGGGAGTCCTCAGGAGAGGCACTGACTGAGGGTCTGACAAGGCCATCCAAGGATGAAAATCCAGCTCTCTGTTCCCATGATGCAAGACAGTCAAGGCACCCCTTTAGGACTGCACTTTAGAATGTCTTCCTCTCTTTCAGTACAGGAGTCTTTTCTGCCAGAAATCCATTCCTCTACCTGGGGCAATTCTTGTACCCAGTTTATGAACTTTCCTGAAGAAAGAGCAGACTAGCTCTCTTGGATTAATTTTTTCCATTTCATCTCATACGGTATGCCAGGGGTCTGGTTTTGTATTTATTACCTGCTTGTTACAAAACTGTTAGAGAGAATGCAGCATTTATAAATGTGTATTTTCAAACTAAATACTCAACCTTCACCAAAATAATTAGATTTAAAAATCACTGATTACAGTACAAGAAAACAGATGCTATGGTCGTGGTTCACATTTTTTTTTTCATCTTTTAAACACTGACTCTTGATAAAGAAATGAAAGCAATGCAGTTGATGAACTAAAAAAAAAAAATGTAGCCAGGTGCTGGTGGCTCACACCTATAATCCTAGTAACCCAGGAGGCTAAGACCTGAGGATTGCAGTTCAAACAGCCTAGACAGAAAAGTCCAGGAGAGTCTTATAGCTCAAGGTGGTAGATTAATACCCTTAAGAAAGAGTTCAGGGACAGTGCCCAAGCCCCAGGTTCAAGTCCTATGACCAACCAAAAGAAAAAAAAAAGTGTTTTAGTATTATAAGAAAAGTGCATTTTCAATTAACAGTGTCGCAAATGTTAGGTCAACTGTGCAAAGATCTATAGTGAAATCGCTTTGCAATTCAAAGCACAATGCATTTATCATGGCTTAAAGTCTAAAGATATGTCCTGGAAAACAGGCAATCCTGAGGACAGATCCTGCATTTTCTAAGTTTGACAGTTTGAAAACAAAGAAGATATGAACTCAGTGTCTTGGTGGCCACATGCTGTGCACACCACAGGAGGCTCACCTGCTCTCCAGCCCTGAAGTCCTGAAGAGCCACACACTCGCAGCGGTCATCTTCCAGATTATAGCCTGTCGTGATCTGCCATGGAGGAAACCAAGACAAGAGCAGTGAGTTTCTCCTGGCGTCTGTGCTCCACTCAGTCGTGAGAGTACAGAGAACCTAGAGGTACATAAAGGGTGCCTCTCACAGCTCTCAAAAACCGAGCAAAGCACTCCAGACACCAACCAACCAGATCTGCACGCACCACGGATCCACATGGGAACTTAAGATACCTCAAATAAAACGCTTGTGGAAAAAGGCAATGTCCTGATCAATACAATCCTTATGACAAAACTGCTGCCTCTGAGCTAGGTGCCCGCTTGCCCACACCAGGGCAGGCACCCCGGGCGCACAGCCACCCAGCGCGGTCTTGTGCCTGCTCACTAGTGAGCTCATGGAGGCAGGCTCGCTGCCATTTGCTTGAAAGCATTATCTAATGTTTGACCATTAAGAAATGGTGCTGGAGAAGTAGCTCAGGGATAGAGTACTTGCTGAAAAGTACTTGGTGACAAGGCCCTGGGTCTAATATCCAACAATACACACAGAAAAAAAAAAAAAATCAAAGTGGATTTCCACTGGATAAAAAATTAAGAGACAAGAAAAACTACTTCTGAACTGTGTATATAGATTTACTCTCAAACTGGAGAAATTAAAACTTTATTTTTATTTTTTGCCAGTCCTGAGGCTTCAATTCAGGGCCTGGGCGCTGTCCCTGAGCTTCTTTTGCTCAAGATAAGCACTCTACCACTTGAGCCACAGTGCCATTTCTAGCTTTTTCTGATTACATGGTACTAAGGAATCGAACCCCAGGCTTCATGCAAGCTAGGCAAGCACTCTACCACTAAGCCACATTCCCAGCCTGAGAAATTAAAACTTTTAGGTAAAGAAAGACAAAACAAAATAACATTTCTTATTCCCTGTCTCTCTGTAATGTGAGGATTTCTAAGTCCACAGGCTACACAACATCCTTTGTCCCTTGATTATTTTCCGCTGGCCCCTGCTCCCACACTGCTGCCCACTGAACTGCAAAGGGAGTTGTGTCGCCCCCCAGGTGGCCACTTCAGAGTAAAACCTGGATCTCAGGAGGCCCATACCTCCCTGGGCTTCTGGCCACGCCGCTGCTGGCCACACTCTAGCCTGGAGCTACTGCCACGCTGGAGACCAGAGACTTGGCTTCTCCAGGTAGGCCTCCTCTCACTCCAGCTCCTCTGCTCTCAGCACTCATCCACGTTCCCAACCACTACTACCAGTGGGTGTACAGGTCAGGCTCTCCCTCTGATCAGTGCCTGACCCTGGGAGCCCACAGGGAGAGGGAATGGCCCCACAGCGGAACTCCTGAGAATGCCCTCAACACATTTAATCCTGAAGAACCAGATTCAAGACAGCTGCGAGAGCTGCTTGCCAATACAACTCTCAGCCTGGGACCTAGAAGAACATGTGGGCGGAACCAACCTAACACATTCATGCCGAGAACCCACGGCTCGTAAACCAGATGTCTAGAAACCCTTTATGCTTCTCATCTGCAAAAGTAAGGACCAACAAAGTGAAGAGAATCAAAGGACGCCATGTCATCTGAAACCTCTGATGCTCAACACTTGAAACACGTGACTCAGATCAAAATCAGTTCCATCCAATTCCTTCTGATTCACTATTCTGACTCTAAAACATCACCTTGATAACGAGAAATGTCCTTTTATAATGAACTCAAGCAGGAGGGAGAGACACTAGGGAAGGAGGGAAGAAAGAGAATGAAGAGAAGATGACAGTGGCTCATGGGTATTTCAGGTGTTCTCACTCTTGGTAACAACAGTAACCACCAGGTCTTACCACAGGACTTAATGCGACCACAGTGAACGCAAGTGCAAAGGTCCTGGGGCAAGATGCACTGGTGTCTAATGACAGAACTACACATGTTGAAGGCACTCTGGAGACGGATAGTGCAGGGGTCCAGTCCACGATGATAAAACTGGGCTTTTTCAACTTCTCAGCATTCAAAGACCTTGGGAATAAACAAAAAACAAGCAACCACAACAAAAAACCTTGTTCAACTTGCTTGGATTTGCAGCTGTTCTTTGACCCTGACTGAGAGGTGAAATACTAACACTTTAGACACTTGAGCGAAGAGGTCAGGTCCAGCCAGGGTGTCCCTGTATAAAACAAACCACCTCAAGAAAGGAAAGCTGAACCCTATGCAAGCTCCAGCTTAGGACTGGCCTTCTGACTGTCCAGGCGGCTAGGGAACTCACCCCGGCACCAGGCCCTCCTCCTGCCTGCCTCCTTTCCTCGCTGTGCTGTTCTGCAGCCAGGGCCACACACTGACAGTCCCAGTCCCACACTAGCGCAGCCAGGGTTCGGAGACACTGCTCCAAGCAGACAGCGTTGCTGGGTTACAACTTTCTTGCGACTCCTCCAGAGAGTCACAGAAGGCTGACAAGATGATCGTCAGCAGACACACACACACAAAGAAAAGCTCTCGCTTCAAAAGCTGAGCCTTGATTTCAAGGCTCTTATTTTTAAAGAGAGATTAACTGCATGCATGATGTACAACTTTATAGTGCTAAAAGGGACTATTTCCCATACAGTCTGATGACGACAGTGGCGAACAGTTCAACAAAGGTGCAGGGCCGAGTGTGGGAGAGCGCGTGAGGCCTGCAGGATGTGTGCAGGCCCGGCCCACAGTCCTGATTCGGGCTGGCAGCATCTGAGTTACACCTCACGGAGGATGGCCAGGGAAAACAGCGAGAGCTGTCATCTGTCTGAGATTTTTTAGATAAGCCCACAGAAGCGAACATCTTTCTCACATGGCAGAGGCAGCACGTGTGTCCAGGACATGTTCGAGTTGCCACACAAACCAAGGGCTTGGGTGGGAGGCCAGGGGGAGAATGGAGCCCCTACCCAACAGCCTCTCTACCGCCAGTACACCAGCTCCCCGCAGGCTGAGGGGCGGAGCTTTGAGCTCATGAGATGGCTGTGATATTTTATTCTTTTTATTTACAATAAAGTGTGCACTTTTTTGAAGTTTAGAAAACACAATATAGGGCTGGGAAGGTGGCTCAGTGGTAGAGCACTTGCCTTTCATGCATGAGGCCCTGGGTTCGATTCCTCAGCACCACATAAGCAAGAAAGAAAAAAAGCCGGAAGTGGCACTGTGGCTCAAGTGGTAGAGCGCTTGCCTTGCATGCATGAGGCCCTGGGTTCAATTCCTCAGCCCCACATAAGTAAAAAGAAAAAAGCCGGAAGTGACGCTGTGGCTCAAGTGGTAGAGCGCTAGCCTTGAGCTGAAGAGCTGAGGGACAGCGCCCAGGCCCAGAGTTCAGCCCCCACGACCAGACCCCCCCCCCCAAAAAAAAAACACAATATAAACTCTAATGATCAAGTGAGTTTGTGAAACAAAGAAAAATACTAGAGCCATCTATTAAAAGTATTATGAAAAAAAATTTAATTTCAAGCTTCAGATCAGTTAAAAATATCTCCGCAGGGAAAAAAAATGAACAAAGAATGTAAAATTATGTTCATTAATGAAAAAATGTAAAACATGTTACTATTTCTTAGTGTTGCTAATTAAGCATATCTAAATTAAGGCAAAAATTGTAATTATAAAATGGAACTAATTTTTTGTTACTACAATTTAAGTACATTCAAGATCCAAGAGAGTAACTGTTGCTAGACCTTCTCAAATTAATTGAAGGATAGTCTACCTTAAGTGTTTGGCACACCAAGCATGTGTGCATGCATGTGTGCATACACGTGCTGTCTAGTTTTTTTGTGGAATCAGAAGTAAAATAATCATCTACAGCAGTTCTTTAATCTCTTTTCTTTTTCCCTGGCACCAGGGATTGAATTCAGGGTCTCAAGCTCTGGCTTGGCTTTTTCTATGACTGGCACTATACCACTTGAACCACACTTCCAGTTCTTTTTAAGTCTATTTTTTAATACCAATGCTTATAACAAAAAAAGCTGACATTAGAAAAGAACAAAATCTAACCGAACACTATCTTCTCATACCTCTTGAAACGGATTCTATTTCTATGTCTCATGATCAGGAAAGCTTTCTTGATATTTGGAACACAATGAGCACTGAGAAACCGAGGGCCTCGCCCTCCTTTGCTGGTGAAATTACCGGCAAAACTAAAATTTCCCTGTTTCTTCCTGTCTCCCACCCAGTGACGCCAGCAACTCCTGCGCTCAACACCAGGGCTTGTGAGGAGAGCCGGCGACACAGCAGCCGACACTGTGCACACAGCAGGGAAGGGACAGGGACCGGGAAGAGCAAGGAAAAGCACCTAGCCAGAAATGGAATCAGCAGAGAACAAGAGAAGCATCATATACGGAAAACGAGATGGACAAAGAAAGGTTTCCTCAAGAAATCAGTATATTTAAAAGAACACGAAAATAAAAACTCTGGTTTCACTAGTGGCCCAATCAAGTAAAAAAATGAATGCCAGGCTGGAATTCAGCTCAGCACACTTTGTGTGCTGTTCACTGTGCTCTAAGGTGGCCTAAGATTGAGTTCTCAGGACACAGCCAACGCAGCTCCTACCAGAGGCCACAGGAGGAGGGGCAGGTGTGCTGGGGCAGTAGGAAGGGGACACCGAGAGGGCAAGGGGACACCGAGAGGGCTAGGGGACATCAGGAGGGGAGGGGACATCAGGAGGGGAGGGGACATCGGGGGGGAGGAGACATCGGAGGGGAGGGGGCATCAGGAGGGGAGGGGACATCAGGAGGGGAGGGGACATCAGGAGGGGAGGGGCATCAGGAGGGGAGGGGCATCAGGAAGGGAGGGGACATCAGGAGGGGAGGGGCATCAGGAGGGGAGGGGACATCAGGAGGGGAGGGGACATCAGGAGGGGAGGGGCATCAGGAGGGGAGGGGACATCGGGGGGAGGGGACATCGGAGGGGAGGGGCATCAGGAGGGGAGGGGCATCAGGAGGGGAGGGGACAGGGCTTGAGATGACAGAGAGAGGGGATAGAGAGGGGATATGAGAATGTCGGGAGGGTGGGGACACTGAGGGGTTGAGGGGGGTATACATGGGGTAAGCAGACATGCTCTGGGCAGCTGAGCATTGGCCTCCCTGATGCCTCCCCCCATCCTCCCCATAAGACCATTACCAGGCCGTTGGTGTGATTACACATGTCCCATAAAGGAATCAGGGCCAGGGTCACCCGGGACCCATCCTCTGTGGGAATTTGGTTCTGCCGCGTCATGACAGAAGAGACTGCCCACCTATAACAATAAGACAAAGAGTTAATTACAGTCTGAACATCCAAAAGCCAATTGCAGTAAGAAATAACTCAACCAGAAGTATAAGGCCATTTGACCTGTGGCAAATTTTCAAAGGCTGTCTTGTCATCATTCAAACTGAACTCCAGGGCTCAGAGGTAGGGGAGTGGCAGAAGGGGAGGCAGAGGCGGGCTTCAGAGACACTGAGAGGAGAGGGCCAGGGGAGGCTCACTCTCTACTCAAATGCTTACTCCGCGCCCATTTCAAGCCTTGGGGAAAAGCAAATGGCATAACTCCCTTCTCACGCGAGAGCCTCTAAGAACTGTGTGACATGTGAAACTCAATTTTCTATCACACTCTACAGTGAGTCCACTCTACCACTGCAGGTGGGGGAACAAACCCTTCAGCACCACCCAGTACTAAGATTAATTTAAGCTCAAGCTCCTTTGGCTGCCGCTCAGTGAGCGGCGATGGGGCTCACCCAGCGTCTCGTGCTAGCCGCTTGTGCGATGGCTGTCTCTGAAGCCTGTCCCTCACTCGTACCACCCCACACTCTCTTGGAATTCGCCCCCTGCTACGCCTGCACACCCACCTGTAGTCCTCGTAAGTGAAAGAATCCTTCAAGGGCAGTTTGTTGGCATGAGGATGGGTCTGGGAATGAGGAGTTTTAGGAAGCAGAGGCAAAGAGAGAAAAAGGGAAACAGAAATCAGTCAGCAGAATCTCATTAGTTAGCTGCCTAACAAATCCTAACAAGAGCCAAACGAAGCAGGCGGTGTCCAGGCGTGCGGCCGGGGGAATCACCAGGCCGTCACGCCCTCATTCATCACTGTCAACTTAATCTGTTGTGCCCAGCAGCCTCCATAAATCTGCTCCTTCATATTTCGATCCCAGAGCCCTGAGACACTGCACAGAACACTTGGGGTGCGCTGATTTCACCAGGCAGGCGCCCACACTAGGAGCACGTGCTCCAGACGGAAACACGGGGCCTGCACAACAAGGAGGCTGCCCCAGCCTTTCTCTGGACGAGGCCAGGGTCGGGTGAGCCTCTTCTGTCCGTGAAAGAACAATTACAGCAGCTCAAACGTCAACTCCTGTGCACACACACAGCAAAGGTAAATCGGGTACAGAAAATCAAGCATAGTATGGTACTGTGGTAAATCTACAACCAAATAAGATAAAGAACGACAGACATCAGCAGATTTTTAAATGTTCTGCTTTTTTTCTGGACAAAAGAACATTTGGTAAAAATATCCAAGACTTCACACTTGGAAGAAAATTTTATACATTTCCTATTCTCTCTTCCCAACACCCCAGACCTTTAAAGCACTTAAAAACTTTGTGTCAATTAAGAAATAAAAGCTGCGGAGTATAATGTTCATCTTCAGTTTCAATTACAGCCGGATAGACAGATCGCAGTGAGTGCTCAGACGAACAAATGGTTCTTTCTGGGGTGCGGCTGCATGTCTGCGTGGCAAGGGGAAAGCAGGAGCTCCATGGAGCACACGAGACTCCTGACGCACTGGCATCACCCGCGCTTGGCCATTTATCATGGCTTGCTGTAATGTACTCGCTGGCACCATATGCAGGACAGTAGGGGATGAGGTACAAGTGGCTCAACCCGTAAATCAATTAGCAAACAAAAGCTTGTGCTCAGTGCTCAATTTTAGGCAAATAATGTATTACAAGAGGCTGCCAAATGGGTGTGACCCCAGGTACCTGCTTCTCCCCTCTTCTTAACCCAGTTTTAGCCTGTTGGAAGAAAAGTCAAGTGTAAAAGTAGATTCATGCAATCCGAAAATGAATGTCTGGCCAGGCAGGGTGGCACACACCCATAGCCCCAGCACACCAGAGCCCGAGGAAAGAGAACCAAGAGTTTGAGGCTGCCCTGGACTGCAGAGTAAGACCTCAGACTGCCTCAAAAAATACAAGAAAATACAACAGCAGGCAATAAATAAGCTGCCTGCTTGCACTAACAACATGAAAGTAGTGGAGGGACTCAGGCAATACATACTAGGGTATGTGGCACAGACATTCTCACCTGAGATGATAAGTCGGAGAAATCACAGCTCCGGGAAGGGACAATTCTTAACACGTCTAGCTGACTTAAGAGCCCGGAGATGGACACAGCTCACGCTCCTTCGCCACAAGTGTAAGGTTGTGCTCTCAAAGTGTGACATGCCTTCCACTCAGTTATTAAACTTAGCTAAGACAGGTGGCGTTTTCCTCCCCCAAACTAATGTGATCAGACATACCACAGAAGCCCTTCAGAGCTGAACGGAGGGTTCTACAACGAGAGGGCAACGCTGACCAAGATGCACAGTACTCACAAAACTGATCTGTTAAACTAAAACCCCTTCGTACAACTACTTCAAGATAGTAAGAGAGAGGGAAGCATTGGCTGCTACCATTTCCATTTGTTCATATTAAGATGAAAGCCACACAATCTCATCTATGGGGAACTCTGCAGGTCCCAGATAACTCTCTCCGAGGTCTAGGAGGTGAGAAATGTTTTGTTATTTTTAAATATTTTAATTCATTACAACTATGTATGCAATTTACTATGGCATTTAAAAAGTCACTAAATGCCTAGGCTAAATCCCATCAATGATAAAAATGTAATAATACCCTTCTTCTCAAGTCTGGAGTTTGTAATGCTAAATCTCAATGCTTGAGGAACACTTCCGACACCTGAACCCTAGAAAACCATGAGTACAGGTGGCCAGTTAAGGAAAAAGGGTACCATGATCGATATACATTTTCTCCTCTTCTTTTTGGCAATAAGCTTTTTAGTTATTAGGCAGGAGTTCTTCTTCCTCAGCCATGCACACATTCATTCACACACACACACACATTTTGGGGAGGGGGGCTTTATGTCACAGGTTTTCCCCCCTGGGACAGACATTCGATTTTCCTACCTATACTTACTTCTTCAATTAACTGCCATCTCATGAGATGAAGCAATGCTAACTTTCTACCTTTGAATCATAATGATCCAAATCTTTACCCCCCCCCCTCCCCAGATTGTGAGGATTACAGGTATAAGCCATGTGCTCAGACTCCAATTCACAGGCTTTTTTTTGTGGGGGGGGGCATCCGGTCGTGGGGCCTGAACTCGGCCTGGGCACTGTCCTTCAGCTCTTCAGCTCAAGGCTAGCGCTCTACCACTTGAGCCACAACGCCACTTCCGGCTTTTTTCTTTTTGCTTATGTGGTACTGAGCCACCTTCCCAACCCCTACAGGCATTTCTTATGTAACCTCAAAAGTCATACTCAGAATTCTGATGAAGTCATTAAAAATATAAGTGCATTTTCAGGCTGAATTTGGCTATTATTTTGTTTGAATGGTTATATAATATTTGCAGACATTGTTAGAAATAGTTATTCTTAAAAAAAAATCAGAGTGAGCCTACCACACACACTTCTGGCATAAAAGCTATTCTGCCACTGATACAAGCACTTAACAGTTACACTGAAGCAAAATGTGAGTGACTTCCAGTTCAGCAGGGCTCTCTCCACCGTGACGACAGCACCACCTACTGGCAGCAGTGAGAGTGGCTGCCAGCCCTGAGGTGTCCAGCTGCTCTGGAAGGCCAGGCCATCACTGACAGTACTTTATTGCAGACACAAACTGGGTTTATCCAAAACAGCCACTTTTATCAGCTTTACCTAAGCAAAACAATAACCACCCTACGTTTAAATTTTATTATATGATATCAAATATTAAAAGCTACTCATAATAAAAATGACTCATCCATGAAAAATATTAAATGCTGAAATTTTTTTCTTATTCTGAAAAGGTGAAAAGCATAAATGTCTTTTCCAAATATTTTTCACTCAAAGTCTGACCTTTAAGTGATTTTTTAAAAGCTTTTCCCCTATTTCCAAGATTTAAAAACATCTTGTAAAAATTAAAGTGACCTGAAGGTTCTCAAATGTCCTTCAATAAACCCTCCTTAACTACTGCTAAGCGGAGGGCAGAGGAGTAGTCTGCACCCCGTGCTCGGGCACTGACATCCCACCAGCTGGCTCCCAGCACAGCAGCCTTTCCAACAGAAAGCATTTCTGACCTGCGGTCCGAAAATTAAAATGTGCGTTAAAACAGAAACCTCAGTTCTGGCGGCCGGCTGGTTTCAGTTGTGATGGTACTTCTCACACTTAGAGTTTGCCATAGATAAGGAGTGTCCACAAACCGTTTCCTGTGGCCAGGAAAGAGGCAAGTAATGGGGACCTCAAGGGCAGGCAATAGGATACGGACAAAAAGCGAGGCCAGATCAGGTTACCATACCCATAAAAAACCCCAAGAAATACAGACCCAGGAACTAGCTGCCACAGATTGTGTTCAGAGCAGCTGATGCTCTTACTGTCTTGAACATGGTACCTATCTATCGACAGCGGGGCCATGATGGACAACTGCCAATGCTCACAATCACACTTGCAGCATGAAGAGCTTACTTTTAGAAAGGGTTTGGGATCCTTCTGCAAAGCCAGGTGATTCAGAAAAAAAATCTTCCCCTCTTCCCTTTTCTATCCAGAGGCACTTTCCTGTGAGACACAGTAATATTGTGCCTAGTACAAAATAATCACTATGTTTGGGAAAGATTAATATCTAAAATTGTTTGTTTGGCTTCAATAAAAAGAAGCAATATTGCTAAATATGTTAAGTATGACATTTTGAAGAATTTACCATATTGCATGGGTCTGGTAGCAATGCTTAAGGAAATTAAAAACCACTACAGTCAGCATATTTGATCCTTATTAAAGTTCCGTCTTGAACTATCACTCACATAAAACAAAAATAAACCAAGAAGAAATTTAAATAAAACCTATGGATTATAAGTGTTTGAAGATGAAAAAAAATGAATGATATTCTGGCTTTAAAAAATTGATTTAGCATGCAGCTTCTCTTTATAGTCCCCTGATAAAAATGAAATCTCCCTAACAAACACTTAATAAAACCTGTCAATATCTCTGGAAAGAAAAATGACACAAATGCATTAAGTATTAAATACCCTTGGAAAAAGTCACATATTCCATGAATTTTTGATGTACTATCTTGACATTAATGTAAAACCTTGATATTTGTAATTGACAGATATTTAATAAAGTATAAAAGAAGATGGCTGCTATGCAGCATGCAAATTTTCCAGGTTGATGAGAGACTCGAGATAGAGGTGCACTTATACTAAGTCAACAGTTAATATGTGTCACAGGAGTCAGCTGCAGCCTTGGTTTAAGCTCATACAACAAACCTTTGTGGAGAACCAAAATAAGCAGAACTTGTTATTATGTGAATTCTTAATCCAGAAACATCTAGCATGTGAAGCATCTTTGAAATATTAACCGCATGGCACAGGAACAGAATGCCTTTGAGTCAAGGGTATCTTTGTTTTTAATATCAAGCAATAAGCATTTTAAAAATAAAAAAGATAAGCCCTTCCCTGAATACATGGAGAGGTATTTCCTAAAACAATTCTCAAAGGAAATGGTTTGACCTAAAGAAAGATTAAACTGTTGGGAGGAAGAAGGGTTAGAACAGGCAAAGAAAGCCTCTGTAAGACACAAACATTTGCCGAAATTGGAACTTTACTTTTCTAAAGAATGTTCCCCTACCCAGACGAATGTCTGGAAAAAAAGCCAACAAACAACAACCA